CATACCACTCCTTCACTGTGCAGCACTTGATCCCTCACACGCACGCACAAACACTCACACACACACACACACACATACACACACACTCATGCACACTTATGCACACTTATGTACACACACTCATGCATATTCATGCGCACACACAACACAACATACACACACAACACACAACACACAACACACGCACCAACACCATCCTCACCCTGGTCCACTTCCATCCGTTCGCGCGCACAGCTTTGACCAGGACAGCGGGCTGGATGCGAAGATCAAGCTTGTCAACGACTACAACGAACTCATGCATGGTTTTCCCGCCAAAGACTTGCTGGCGGCGTCCGATACGGAGCAGCTGCGCCAGGCCCTTGTCACCATCTTCTCCCATCTCAAGCGCATCCGCAAGACAAAATATCCTGTGAAACGCTGTCAGAATTTGATCCTGGCCATCTCCCGTGACATGGCCGCACAGCTCACAGCCATCCTCTCAAACCTCGAGCTCATGCACATGAGGTGCGTCGCATTGTTTCGTGTGTGTGTGTGTTGTGTGCGCCTGTGTGTGTGTGTGTGTGCGTGTGTTTGTGTGCGCCTGTGTGTGTGTCTGTGCCTGCGTGTCATGTGTGATGTCTGTGCCTGCACCGCTGTCTGCACCGCTGCCTGCACTCGTGTCTGCACCCGTTGTCTGCTTTGCCTGCTTGTACCCAACTCCTCGCCCTCAACGTGCTCCAATTCCCCCCCGCCCCGCGTCCTTCCTCCGCCGCTGCACCAGCTATGCCGACTTTGACCGCACGATCCACGGCTGCTCGCGCCTCTTCAAGACGTGGGAGGAGGAGGTTGAGCGCTTCCGCACACAGCTGCGCATGCAACTGCGCCAGAACCCGGACCCGAACATGCGCACCCTCAAGATCCTGCACCCCGAGCACCGGCCCCTGCAGGAGCGCATCGAGGAGCTCCGTACGTCGCACACACACACACGCACATGCATTGTTTTGTGTGGTTTGCCTTGGACTGATGGCGGTGCGCCTGGTTGCAAGGCGTCTATTGTGGGTGCTTGTGCTTGTGTGGTTTCAGTATCAATGAGCTGATACTGCGTATATCCGTCTTGCGTGGTGTCCCTCCTCTCCATCCCTTTCCCATTCTTTCCTGGCCTCTCGATGACACTGCAGGCAAGTTCCGTGCGTCCCACGAGCAGCTGCGCAATGTGATTGAGCGCGTGTTGCGGGCGCCTGCGCCTGGCGAGGCCGTCACAGGTTCCCTGGATGCCCAGGACGTGCAGGCTGTGAAGGACGTCGATTCCGCCTACAACATGATGAAAGACATTGACGCGCTCGACCTGTCGGACCAGGGCGCCAGGCTCTGGAGCACACGCCTCCAAGCGTCAGTTGCCATGACGAAAGCGTGCATATTTGTGTGTGTGTGTGCGTGTGTGCGTGTGTGTGTACATCTGTGTGTGTGTGTGTGTGTGTGTGCACCTGTGTGTGTGTGTGTGTGTGTGTGTGCACCTGTGTGTGTGTGTGTGTGCACCTGTGTGTGTGTGGTTTCCTGTGTGCCTTTTTTTTTTTTGCGCGCGCGAACTGCAGCAATTACAGCATGTGTCCCTCACTCACCCCCTTTTTGTTCCCAAACCACGCCCGCCTCCCTCCCCAACTTCTTCAGGTACCACGACCGGATTGCGCTGGTTGAGGCGCGGGTGTCATCGAAGCTACGCGACCAGCTTGGTGCTGCGCGCTCAGCCAATGACATGTTCCGCATCCTCTCCCGCTACGAGACGCTCGTCAACCGCAAGAACATCAAGAGCGAGATCAAGAGCCACAGCGGGCAGCTGCTCTCCCGCGTGCTGACAGACATTGACAAGCTGCACCACAAGTTTGCGGTGGAGTTTGAGGCGACCACCAACGCCCGCCTGAGCAAGGCCCGCGACGTGCCGCCCGTCTCCGCCAAGATTGTGTGGATCAAGCAGTTTGAGCACAAGCTCGACCTGTACCTCTCGCGCGTGGACAACGTGCTTGGCATTGGCTGGGACAAGCTGCCGGAGGGCAAGAAGCTCCGGCGGTCCGCAGAGGAGCTGCGCGCCAAGCTCGACCACGATGCCGTGTTCAACCACTGGCAGGAGCAGGCAGCCAAGCTCGAGCACTCGTCCTCCACCACCAAGGCCCTTGGCGTTGTGCAGAACAAGGCAGGGAAGCTGGAGCTGGTGGTGGACGTGCCACGCGTCGCCATCGAGGCCAACAACGAGAGCCGCAACCTGAAGTTCCTGGGCCATCGCCCGCGCGTCGGGCTTGCGCGCAAGTTCATGTTCGCGCGCACGTCGTACTCGTTCTGCATGTCGCTGGACGGCAGCGTGCGCACGTACAAGCACACGCTGGCCAAGCTTGCTGACGCGCCCAAGCTCAAGCCGCTGGTGGCCAAGTACCACGACCGCATCCACCGGCTGCTGCACGACCACATTGACCTGACGTGGGGCGACCACCGCGTCGAGCGCTTTGTGGGCGATCTGGCCGAGAACACGCACATCTTCCAGGAGAAGGTGGACAGCGTCATCGCCGCAGACAGGCACATCCAGAAACAGGTGGCCGAGCTCGACACGTGCGCGCTGAGCAAGGTGACGCTGTCGCAGGTACTGGACGCGGTGCAGGCCGTGGTGGATGACCTTGACCGCCAGGCGTTCAGCCACTTGTCGACGTGGGTGCGTGACGTCGACGACCGCATCAGCGACAAGCTGGAGGACCGCCTGCGCGAGGCCATGGCCCGCTGGACCAAGGCGCTCAACGAGTACGACCTGGTGCTGCCGCCCGGCGCCGCCATGGACGTGATCCACGAGCACCGCCGCATCATCAAGCGCATCCCGCTGGAGATTCTCATCCACAACCAGATGCTGGTGGTGCACCCGCCCCCGGAGGCCGCCCGCGAGGCGCTGTTGCAGCAGCTGCAGCAGTACCTGGTGGTCATCACCAGCCTGCCGCGCATCCGCACGTCCAACCACGAGCTGCAGCCGACGCACACGGCGCGCTCGTCAAGCTCCTACTGCGGGCTGCTTGCACGCATGGCTGACGGCAACCAGCACCTGCTCAGCGCGTACTCTGCGATTGAGGCGCGCGTGGCCGCCATTGAGGAGTACGTGCAGGTGTGGATCCAGTACCAGGCGCTGTGGGACATGCAGACGGACAGCATCGTGGCCGCGCTCGGCGACGACCTGAACATGTGGAACCAGCTGCTGGTGGACATCAAGAAGGCGCGGCGCACGTTTGACACGGCCGAGACGTCCAAGGCGTTTGGCCCCGTGGAGGTCAACTACGGGCAGGTGCAGGCGCGCGTGATTATGAAGTACGATGCCCTGCACCGTGACATGCTCAACAAGTTTGGCAGCAAGATGGCCAACAAGATGCGCCGCTTCTTCGAGAGCGTGGGCGAGTCGCGCCAGGCGCTGGAGAAGGTGACGCTGGAGGGCGTGAGCACGGCGGACGCCGTGGCGTGCATCAAGACGCTGGGCGAGATGAAGCGCCGCCGCAAGCTGTGGATGCACGATCTGGAGCAGTTTACGGCCGGACAGAAGATTCTGGAGCGCCAGCGGTACCAGTTCCCGCGCGACTGGCTGTACCTGGACAACGTCGAGGGCGAGTGGGAGGCGTTCAACGAGATCCTGAACAAGAAGGATGGCGTGGTGCAGGGCCAGCTTGTGCCGCTGCAGATGAAGGTGGTGAGCGAGGACCGCGCCATGGAGACGCGCGTGGCGTCGCTGCTTGATGACTGGGCGAAGAACAAGCCCGTGGGCGGCACCGTTCGCCCGGACGCCGCCGTCAACACGCTTGCCATCTACGAGGCGCGCTTTGACAAGCTCAAGGCCGAGTTTGACTCGCTCACGGAGGCGAAGGTTGCGCTCGACCTGCCCGTCGCCCGCGACGACCGCCTGGCGCAGAGCCTGCACGAGCTGCACGAGCTGCAGAGCAGCTGGTCCGAGCTGTCGCAGATCTGGGAGCGCATCAACGACCTGAAGCAGATTCCGTGGTCGGCGGTGGTGCCGCGCAAGCTCCGCGGAGCCCTGGAGGACCTGGTGAAGGACCTGAAGAACCTGCCCATGGGCGTGCGGGAGTACGAGTCGTACGAGTACACCATGTCGCAGGTGAAGAGCTACGTCAAGGCGAACAAGCACATTGTGGACCTCAAGTCCGATGCGCTCAAGGACCGCCACTGGCGCAAGCTCATCCAGCTGCTTGGCGTGGACTGGGTTGTCACGGACATGGTGCTCGGCAATGTATGGGAGGTGGATCTGGACCGCCATGCAAAGGCCGTACAAGAGGTCATGGGCCAGGCACAGGTTGGTTCATCTTGGTGGTAGTGGTGGTGGTGGTGGTGGTGGTGGTGGTGGTGGTGGTGCAAGGCGAAGTTGAGCGAAATATGTGCCTTTATGTGACTGTGTGTATGCGTCTGTGTGTGTATGCGTCTGTTTGTGTCTGCCCTGTACCTGCGCCCTTGCTTGCTTGCTGGTCAGCATATTCCTACCCCCCCCCCCTCCTCAACACACACACAAACACACACACACACACACACACACACACACACACACACACACACACACACACACACAATGTACGATAGGGTGAGATGGGACTTGAAGAGTATCTGCGGCAGGTGAAGGAGCTGTGGGCGGGCTTTGAGCTTGACCTCGTCGACTACCAGCACAAGACGTATCTGATTCGCGGGTGGGACGACCTGTTCAACCAGCTCAAGGAGCACATCACGTCCATGGAGGCCATGCGCATGTCGCCCTACTTTGCTGCGTTTGAGGAGGAGGCGACCACGTGGTACGACAAGCTCAACAAGATGTTCACCATCTACGACGTGTGGATGGACGTGCAGCGCCAGTGGGTGTACCTCGAGGGCATCTTCACCGGCAGCGCTGACATCAAGCACCTCCTCCCCAACGAAACCTCTCGCTTCCAAACGTGAGACACTCCTTTAGTGTTTGTGTGTAGTTTGAGTGTGGGCGTGTGATCGTACGAGTGAGTGTGTACGTGGGTGTGGATGTGAGAGAGTGGGTGAGCGACACAACAAACGGAGACAGTGATGGCGGATGTGCTGCTGTGCTGCCGCACCCTCTTGTGCTTGACCAGTACTGTTGTGCGTTCTGCCGCTGCCATGATTTTGCGTTTCCAACAATCGCCTCTCCCGAATATGGTCAATCTGCGCTCACACACGTATCCACCTTAACATATCACACACACACACACACACACACACACACACACACACACACACACACACACACACACACACACACACACACACACACACACACACACACACGCACACACACACACGCCTCTTTTTTTTGTTTTTGTTTTTTTGCTCTCGACAACCCTCTCGCCCCCCCCCCCCACCCCCGCTTACACAAACAGCATCAGTGCGGAGTTTCTTGGGCTGATGAAGCGCGTGCAGCAGACGCGCATGGCAATTGACGTGCTTAACATCCCCGATGGCCAGAAGTCGCTTGAGCGCCTGGCAGACCTGCTTGGCAAGATCCAGAAGGCGCTGGGCGAGTATCTGGAGCGGGAGCGGCAGGCGTTCCCGCGCTTCTACTTTGTTGGCGACGAGGACCTGCTGGAGATTATCGGCAACTCGAAGAACATTGACCGCATGCAGAAGCACTTTATCAAGATGTTTGCGGGCGTGCAGACCATCACCCTCAACGACGACCAGAGCTTGGTCACGGGCATCAGCTCCAAGGAGGGCGAGTTCGTGCCCTTTGTGCAGCCCGTGACGTGCAAGGACGTCAAGATCAACGTGTGGCTGACGCAGGTGCAGGAGCAGATGCGCGTGTCGCTGGCCACCAGCCTGAACAAGGCCGTCACAGACCTGCGCGCCATGAGCGAGGACAAGTTCGACTTTGCCGCGTACAAGGCGTGGCTGGACACGTACCAGGCGCAGCTGGTTGTGCTCGCGGCGCAAATCAACTGGAGCGAGCGCGTGGAGGCTGCGCTGGAGCAGGGCGGCGGTGCACAGCACCTGCAGCCGGTCATCGACCACGTCAACGAGGTGCTGTCTGCGCTCGCCGACACGGTCCTGCAGTACCAGCCTCCGATTCTGCGCAAGAAGCTGGAGCACACCATCACGGAGCTCGTGCACCAGCGCGACGTGACGCGTGAGCTCGTGGCCACGGGCGCAACCAGCCCGCAGGACTTTGAGTGGCTCAAGTACATGCGCTTCTACTTCAACCCGCGCGAAGAGAACGTGCTGCAGCAGCTCACCATCTGCATGGCCAACACGCGCACCTTCTACGGGTTTGAGTACCTGGGGCTCGTGGACAAGCTTGTGCAGACGCCGCTCACGGACCGCTGCTTCCTCACCATGATGCAGGCGCTGGACATGAAGCAGGGCGGCAGCCCCTTTGGCCCCGCAGGCACGGGCAAGACGGAGTCTGTCAAGGCGCTCGGCGCGCAGCTGGGCCGCTTCGTGCTGGTGTTCAACTGCGATGAGACGTTTGACTTCCACGCCATGGGCCGCATCTTCGTCGGTCTGTGCCAGGTGGGCGCGTGGGGCTGCTTTGACGAGTTCAACCGCCTGGAGGAGCGCATGCTCTCTGCGGTGTCGCAGCAGATCCAGACCATCCAGCTCACCCTCAAGGACGCCGCTCCAGGCACCACACCAACCACGGACCTGCTGGGCCGCACGGTGACAGTGAGCCCGAGCATGGCCATCTTCATCACCATGAACCCGGGCTACGCGGGCCGCTCCAACCTCCCGGACAACCTCAAGAAGCTCTTCCGCCCACTGGCCATGACCAAGCCGGACAGGCAGCTGATTGCCCAGGTCATGCTCTTCTCGCAGGGGTTCCGCACCGCGGAGCAGCTCTCGCGCAAGATTGTGCCGCTGTTCATCCTGTGCCAGGAGCAGCTCTCCGCGCAGTCGCACTACGACTTTGGCCTGCGCTCCCTCAAGGCCGTGCTCGTCAGCGCGGGCAACATCAAGCGGCAGCACCTGGAGGACCTGCGGGCGAAGATGCAGCAGCAGGAGGGCGGCGGCGACGAGCAGCAGGAGCGCGACCTGGCCGCGGCCATCGACGAGCAGGAGGTGCTGATCCAGAGCGTGACCCAGACCATGGTGCCCAAGCTTGTGGCGGACGACCTGCCTTTGCTGGACAGCCTGCTGAGCGACGTGTTCCCCGGGGTGCAGCCGCCGGCGCTGCCGCTCGCTGACCTGAAGAAGGCCATCGAGGAGGTGTGCGCAGACTGGCACTACGTGCTGAGCGACATGTTCATGATGAAGATCCTTCAAGTGTACCAGGTGTCGTGCCTGCAGCACGGGCTCATGCTGGTTGGCCCCTCTGGCAGCGGCAAGTCTGCGGCGTGGAAGGTTCTGAAGGAGGCCCTGCAGCGCATGGAGAAGGCGGAGGTGTTCACGCACGTGATTGACCCCAAGGCAATCACCAAGGACGAGCTGTATGGCACGCTGGACCCGACCACGCGCGAGTGGACGGATGGCATCTTCACCCACGTCGTGCGCAAGATCTACGACAACCAGCGCAACGAGCAGGACCATCGCCAGTGGATTGTGCTTGACGGCGACGTGGACCCAGAGTGGGTGGAGAACTTGAACAGCGTGCTGGACGACAACAAGCTGCTGACGCTGCCCAACGGCGAGCGGCTCAGCCTGCCACCGTGCCTGCGCATCATGTTTGAGGTGAAGGACCTGAAGCACGCCACGCTTGCCACCGTCTCGCGGTGCGGTATGGTGTGGTTCAGCGAGGACGTTGTGACGATTGACATGTACTTTGAGCGCTACCTCGGGCGCCTCGCCACAACGCCGTTCCCCGCAGAGGCCGCAGACGCCCTCAAGCCAAACGACATGCTGGAGGTACGCGAGGGGAGGGGAAGAGGAAGAGGAGCAGAGGGAAAGGGAGGGGAGCACAGCGATCACAACATGCATCCGCCACATTTCGTCTGTGGTGGAACATTCGTACACCTTGTCACTCACTCACTCACTCACTCACTCACTCACTCACTCACTCACTCACGCATACACACTGGTACACATTCACTCACGCACAATCACAATTCTCAAACCACCCAACACCCACCCCGCCCCCAAACCAATGCAGATCCAGCAGGGCGTTGCGGAGGTGCTGTCGCCCTATTTGAGCGATGGTGGACTGGCCATGACGGCGATTGACTACGCACGGGACCTGTTCCACATTATGGAGTTTTCCAACATGCGCAGCGTCAACTCGTTCCTGTCCATGCTCAACTTCATCCCGCGCGCCATTGCCGGTTACAATGCATCGCACCCCGACTTCCCCATGACACCCGAGCAGGTGCGCGCGTACACGGAGAAGCGGCTCGTGTTTGCACTGCTGTGGGCGCTGGTTGGCGACAGCAAGGGCACGGTGCGCTCTGAGTTTAGCGAGTGGGTGCGCGAGCAAGTGGCTGGCGGCATGGACCTGCCCCAGGGCGACATCATGGACTTCGAGGTGCAGCTGCCCGTGGGCACATGGCAGCCGTGGAAGGACAAGGTACCGCGCATTGAGATTGACAACAAGAAAATCTCCGGCACGGACGTGGTCGTGCCCACCCTGGACACGGTGCGCCACGAGGACGTGCTGTACACGTGGCTCAAGGAGCACCTGCCGATTGTGTTGTGCGGCCCGCCGGGCTCCGGCAAGACCATGACGCTGTTCAGCGCGCTGCGCGCGCTGCCGCACTTTGAGGTGGCCGGTCTCAACTTCAGCAGCAGCACGACGCCCGAGCTGATTATGAAGACGTTTGAGCAGTACTGCGAGTACCGCAACACACCCAACGGGATTGTGCTTGCGCCCGCGCAGCTCAACAAGTGGCTGGTCATCTTCATGGACGAGTGCAACCTGCCCGCGCCAGACACGTACGAGACGGTGCGCGTGGTGACGTTTATCCGGCAGATGGTGGAGCAGGGCGGCTTCTGGCGCACGGAGGACTTCAAGTGGGTGCGCCTCGACCGCATCCAGTTTGTTGGCGCGTGCAACCCGCCGACGGACCCTGGCCGCGTGCCGCTTGACCAGCGCCTGCTGTGCCACGTGCCCGTGGTGTACGTGGACTACCCCGGCGCGGAGTCCCTGCGCCAGATTTACGGCACGTTCAACCGCGCCATGCTGGGCCTGCAGCCGAGCCTGAAGACGCACGCGGACGCGCTGACGGACGCCATGGTGGACTTTTTCACGCAGACGTCGCAGCGGTTCACGGCCGACATGCAGCCGCACTACATCTACTCCCCGCGTGAGATGACGCGCTGGGTGAAGGGCATTGCGGAGGCGATTGAGCCCCTGCCCTCGCTGGACCTGGACGGGCTGGTGCGGCTGTGGGCGCACGAGGCGCTGCGGCTGTTCCAGGACCGCCTGGTCGGCGACGACGAGCGGCAGTGGACGGAGGAGCAGATTGACGCCGTTGCGCGCAAGCACTTTGCCGGGCTGAACCACGTGCAGGCGCTGCAGCGGCCCATCCTGTACAGCAACTGGCTCTCGCGCGACTACGTGCCCGTGGAGCAGGAGGAGCTGCGGGACTTTGTGCAGGCGCGCCTGAAGGTTTTTTACGAGGAAGAGCTTGACGCGCAGCTGGTGCTGTTTGACGAGGTGCTGGACCACGTGCTGCGCATCGACCGCGTGTTCCGCCAGAACCAGGGCCACATGCTGCTCATTGGCATGCCGGGCGCGGGCAAGACGACGCTTGCGCGGTTTGTGGCGTGGATGAACGGCCTGAGCGTGTTCCAGGTGAAGGTGCACAAGAACTACGACGCGGAGGCGTTTGACGAGGACCTGCGGCACGTGCTGCGGCGCGCGGGCACGCTCGGCGAGAAGATTGTGTTTATCATGGACGAGGGCAACGTGATGGACACGGCGTTCCTGGAGCGCATGAACACGCTGCTGGCCAACGGCGAGGTGCCGGGCCTGTTTGAAGGGGACGAGTACACGACGCTGATGAACCAGTGCAAGGAGGGCGCGCAGCGGGACGGCCTGGTGCTGGAGGGCAACGACGAGCTCTACCGCTGGTTCTCGCTGCAGGTCATGAACAACCTGCACGTGGTCTTCACCATGAACCCGAGCGAGGGCGGGCTGCAGGAGCGCGCGTCCACCTCCCCCGCCCTCTTCAACCGCTGCGTGCTCAACTGGTTTGGCGACTGGTCCGACCACGCCGTGTACCAGGTTGGCTACGAGCTCACGGCGCAGGTGGACCTGGAGCGGCCGGGGTACCTTGCCCCGCCAACCCTGCCCGCGGTTGCGTACGACTGCCTGCCGTCGCCCATCGACCACCGCGCAGCCGTGATCAACGCGTGCGTGTACGTGCACAAGTCGACGCGGCAGGCGGCGAGGCGGCTGCTGAAGCGGGAGGGCCGCAGCACGGTGATCACGCCGCGCCACTTTCTCGAGTTTGTGCAGCAGATTGTGCACGTGTACAACGAGAAGCGCAGCAACCTTGAGGAGCAGCAGCTGCACCTGAACGTGGGGCTGGACAAGATTGAGCAGACGTTCAAGGCGGTGGAGCAGGAGCAGGCGAAGATGGCCGAGGAAGAGGTCAAGCTGCGCGAGATGAACGCGCGCGCCAACGACAAGATGAAGGAGGTGATGGTGAACCGGGAGAAGACGCAGGCCAAGCAGGACGAGTCTGCCAAGCTGGAGGCGGAGCTGGTACAGAAGCAGAAGCAGGTGCGGGAGAACAAGGCCGGCGTGGAGGCTGAGCTGGCCGAGGTGGAGCCCGCGGTGAGGGAGGCCAAGACGGCCGTGCAGGGCATTGAGAAGCGGCACCTGACGGAGCTCAAGGCGCTGGGCAACCCGCCGCAGGCCGTGAAGCTTGCGCTGGAGTCTGTGCTGTGCATGTTGGGGGAGGCCAACGCGGACTGGAAGTTTATCCGCAGCTACATCACGCGCGACGACTTTATCAGCTCCATCATCAACTTCAACCCGGACAGCGTGACGCCCAGGATCCGCGACACGATGGAGAAGCGGTACCTGTCCAACCCAGACTACGACGTGGACAAGGCGTTTCGCGCGTCGCAGGCCGCGGGCCCGCTGGTCAAGTGGGCGCGGGCGATGGTTGGCTATGCGACGATGCTGCTGAAGATTGAGCCCCTGCGCAACGAGCTGCGCAGCCTGACGCAAGAGGCGGAGGCGATGGCGCAGCAGCACGAGGAGGTGCAGGTCCTGCTCAAGGAGCTTGAGGGCACGCTGGAGGCGCTCACGCTGGAGTACAACGAGCTGCAGAAGGACATTGGGCGCACGGAGGAGCAGCTGCGCATCACCAAGTCCAAGGTAGAGCGCAGCATGAAGCTGCTGGAGAGCCTGAACGACGAGCGCGAGCGGTGGTCCAAGGGCAGCGAGGAGTTTACGCAGCAGATGGCCACCATTGCCGGCGACTCGCTGCTGGCCGGCGCGTTCCTGGCGTACGCGGGCTACTTTGACCAGACGTACCGCGCGTCGCTGTTCAAGCTGTGGCGGCGGTGCCTGGAGAACTCCGCCGTCAACTACAAGCGGGACCTGGCCATTCCAGAGTACCTGTCCACGCCCGACGAGCGGCTGGCGTGGCGCAGCAACGGCCTGCCGGACGACGAGCTGTGCACGGAGAACGCCATCATGCTCAAGCGCTCTGTGCGGTACCCACTTGTGATTGACCCGGCGGGCCAGGCGGTGGCGTTTATCCTGCAGCAATACGCGGACGTGAAGATCCAGCGGACGAGCTTCCTGGACAAGTCGTTCAAGAAGACGCTGGAGAGTGCGCTGCGGTTTGGCACGCCGCTGCTGGTGCAGGACGCGGAGGGCTACGACCCGCTGCTCAACCCCGTGCTCAACCACGAGGTGCGCAAGACGGGCGGGCGCGTGCTGGTGTCGCTCGGGCAGGACGACGGCATTGACCTGTCGCCGGCGTTCCACATCATCCTGACCACGCGCAACTCCACGCACCAGTTCCCCGCAGACCTGTGCAGCCGCGTGACCATGGTCAACTTCACCGTGACGCGCGGGTCGCTGCAGTCGCAGTGCCTGAACCAGATGCTGCGGTCCGAGCGGCCGGACGTGGACGCCAAGCGCTCGGAGCAGCTCAAGCTGCAGGGGGCGTTTAGGGCGCAGCTGCGGCGCCTGGAGCGGGACCTGCTCAGCACGCTCAACGAGGTGGGCGGGTCGATTCTGGACGACGACAAGGTGCTGACGGCGCTGGAGACGCTGAAGCAGCAAGCGGCGGAGGTGGCGCAGAAGGTGCGGGAGAGCGACTCGGTCATGGCAGAGATCTCTGCGGTGACGGCGGAGTACCAGCCGCTGGCGCACAAGTGCAGCAACATCTACTTCACGCTGGAGCAGCTGCACGTGGTGCACTTTTTGTACCGCTACTCGCTGCAGTTTTTCCTCAACATCTTCCATGTGGTGCTGAACGAGAACGTGCACCTGACGGGGCTGGACAACCCCGGGGAGCGGCTGCGCATCATCACAAAGGACCTGTTCCTCGCCGTGTACACGCGCGTGGCGCCGGGCCTGCTGCACGAGCACCGCATGTCGTTTGCCGTGACGCTGCTGCGCTTCTACCTGCAGGGCACGCGCGACGAGCTGCCGGAGGACGAGTTTTCGCACCTCTTCTCCAGCGCGGGGGCGCAGGTGGCCGGCGTCACCACCGCCTTTGACTTTTTGCTGTCGGAGACGATTCGCACGCCGCAGGCGCTGGCCGCGGAGCACCTGAGCAAGTCGCTGCCCAACGCGTTTGCGTCGCTGCTGCAGGACATCCGCAACAACGAGGCCGCGTTTGTGGAGTGGATCAACTCGCCCTACCCGGAGCTGGACCGCCCCGAGTACATGTCGTACACGGAGGGCGTGAGCGACACGGTGCAGGCGTTCCGCCACCTGCTGCTGCTGCGGGCGCTGCGGCCTGACCGCGTGCTGGCCATGTGCCACGAGCTTGTGGTGGGCGTGTTTGGTGGCTCCTTTGCCAGCAGCGCGGCGGAGGCGGCTGAGCTGCTTGTGAACAGCGTGCTCAAGGAGGTTGACTGCCGCACGCCCCTGCTGCTGTGCGGTGTGCGCGGGTTTGATGCCTCGTCGAAGGTGCGGGACCTCGCCCTCACGCAGGGCCGCGTCCTGTCCGAGGTGGCCATCGGCTCTGAGGAGGTAACGGTTTCAGTTTGGGTCGGGGGATGTAAATGCTTGTGTTGTGTGTGTGTGTGTGTGTGTGTGTGTGTGTGTGTGTGTGTGTGTGTGTGTGTGTGTGTGTGTGTGTGGTGG